GCCTTGCCTGGAAGCACCACCAAGGTTTCCAGCCGTGGTCCTGCTCTGGTTGTATCACCATGGACACACCAAGATGTGGTGCCAAGGAAACCATGATCCAAAGAGCAGCTGAAGACCAGCAATTAATCAAAGCCTCAGACTGTTGTTTAGCAAAGAGGTCACACCATCCACATGCTTCATCCCTACTAGGAGTGAGGCATCAGTTCTCTCCAGGCCATCAATCCCATGGATGCCCCTCTCTGGAAGTGTTCAAAGCCAGTTTGGACAGGGCTTGGAGCAACCTGGGATAGTGGAAGGTGTCCCTGCCCATGGCAGAGGGTTGGAATGAGGTGGACTTTAATGTCCCTTCTAACCCAACCCATTCTGGGATTCCATGATTCCATGATCCTGCCATAAAATGGCATCCGGGGGTGAAAGGTGTCCTCCTTGAGCCAACCACAGCTTCAAAACAGCTGGAAAACACCCTTCCCTGGGGCCTTTCCGCTGTTCCTACCAGAGGTCAGCCAAAAAAACCACAACCAAGTTTGAAGAAAATCAGCTCATCAGTTTTTGAGCCAGTTGATCCCATCTTGACTTCCCACAGGATCTCACCCAGCTTGGTCTTGCAGAAGTGGTGAAAAGTCCCATATCAGATGGAAGGAAATGACGGAGGGCTTTGAGGCGGGCAGAGGGTCTGGCGATGAGCTGGGAACTATGATCACCCTCAGTGCTGCCTGAGGAAGGTGGCTGATGTGCCACATGTGCCCCAGCGCCTTCCAGCTGCTCTGTATCACATTTATATTTACCAAATATCCCCCGTACGTGCCTGGCCAAAGGGAGAATCCTTCCTTGTGGGACTGAGGGGTGAGACACCTGCGCTCCAGCCTCTCCAAAGCTTCACCAGTGTCACATGTGACACTCACGAGGCTGGAGAACATCTCACCAGAGCAGAATTCCACGGTGTTAATTTTTAAGGAAAGCTTGGGGCAAAAGCAGGAGGATGCCCCAAACTGGGGGTGCTGGGACCCCAGAAGCTGCGCTGGGAGACACCAACAGGCAGGAGCCTCGTGGGCAGGAGGGAGCCAAGGGCTAATTTTAACACCAACCTGTGCCTGCGGCATCTGCGTGACATGCGAAGCCCCAGGGATGGATCGGGTGTCTCAGGAAAAGGGGGGAATGTGTGTGTGGATGTGAAGCAACAGCAGTGAGGGCTGAGCCCCGTGAAACACCCGCGACAACTGCGTGGCGGGGCTGGGGGTCACCAGAGCAGCTGCCTCAGGCAACTGGGGCTGGTGGCAGGGCTGCAACCCCTGGCCCGGGGCCAGCAGTGGACTCAGGAGACCATGGAGGGGATGCCAGGGTGTTTTACACCCCATCCTGCATCCACCATGATGTGGGGATGGGCCCGGGGAGACAAGGTGAACCCTTCTTCTCGGCTGATTCACGCGTGGGTGTGGCTACATCACACCCTCCAGGCTTTGTTAGCACTTAAAGAAGTGTCCCTTTGTAGGGTGTGTGTGACACAGTGAGGTCGAGATCACACCTTGGCGCTGGGAACGATTTGTTGCTGCTGATAGGAATGGGTGGGAATTGGTTGCTTTTCCACGCTGGGAAACAAAAGGGGTGCAGGAAGTGTTTCATTACAGCACAAACATGGAAAATTGGATTAGATCAGATACGAGAAGGTTTTTTATGATGCGGGTGGTGAGACACTGGCACAGGTTGCCCAGAGAAGCTGTGGCTGCCCCATCCCTGCGAGTGTTCAAGGCCAGGTTGGATGTGACTTGGAGCAATCTGGGATAGTGGAAGGTGTCCCTGCCCGTGGCAGGGGAGTGGGACGAGATGGACTTTAAGGTCCCTTCCAACACAAACCACTCTGTGATTCTGTGAAAAAAAAACACCAACAGATTTCGCTCTTTCCTTGGAAATATCCATGCTGATGGGACATCATGTGCTGCCTGCCAATACTGAGCCAGGGCTGGCCGAGCATTGCCCACGGCAGCACGGTGACAGCGGGGGACGAGGTTCAGCCTTTCCCTCCCAGAAACCCTCCCTGGAGTCAGCACAGCCTCCCGGGGGGCACTGAGGGGGGCAAGGCAGGAGGGGAAATCCAAACTGGGATGCAGTGGAGCGGGCACTGGGAGGCAGTGGGCACCCGGGACTTGTCCTGCTCCCATTTGAGGGGAGCTCGGCGCAGCAGCAATGTGAGAACTTACCCAAAAGAGCCCTTTCGGGCGGGGGTCGCAGCTCTGGAGGAGGCTCCAGGGCACGCACACTGGCAGCTGTCCCTACTCCCTGTGGATCAAGTTAATCCTTCCCACGCATCTGCCCTCGGGCTGCGGCGCTGGGAGGGAAGGGGTTACACAGAGCCAGGTTGCCAAGCCCACGTTTTAATTCAGATGGGGGGGGGGGGAACAAAACAAAACAAAACAAACCAACCCAAACCCACAACAAAACCACCAGATAAATCCAACGACAAACCCACTGCAATAATCCAGGCGGACAAATCCACCGCACATCCACGTTCGGAGGCTGCCGAGCGCTTAAACCTGCCAGATGCACGGGATGGATAAGGCTAAGCAGGGATTAAGGGGGCTCCCCACGGCGGGACGGCGGCAACAACAACCCCCGGCCTGGGCGGGGCGGAAAGGCCATGAAAAAGTCACTTTGCAGTGGGACGAAATGATTCCCGGGATCCTGCGCCCTGATGGAAACCCCTCCTGCACAACGGGGTCTTCCACTCCATTTAAACAGTTTTAATTCGAGATGAGCGTCTGGCTGCGTTTTTTCTTTTTCAGGCGGGGGGAGTGGGGTGTGTGTGCGGAGAATCGCCTTTCTTTAAGCCGTGGGGGTTTGTTGCCCCAGGAGGAGGGTGGCTCCGAGCCCCCAGGGAATTCCGCATCCCTCCAGGTCCCGCTGGAGCCATTTTAGGTTAGTGATGTCCCAACGGAGCAGCTCCGTCAGTGACTGGGGCGCCAACACAATGGGCCACTGTCACCCGGGAGGGGATGAGGGCAAGGACTGGGGTGGGGACAGGGACGAGCCCTCCGTGCTCCTGCGGCCCCGCCATCCTGCTCCTCGGGCCAGCCTGGGCGTGTGTCCCCCGCCTGTCACGGCCAGGGATGTGTGGCGGGGTGGACAGGGATGTGTGGCGGGGTGTGCTCCACGTGTGCGCTCCGCACGTGTGCTCTGCTGCGGGCACGGCGGGGCTCGGCCCGGGGCCACAGGGGGGTGTGCCCGTGTTCGTGTGTGGGTACATATGTACGTGTGTGCATATGTGTGTGTGTGCCCGTGTTCATGGGTGTGAGCATGTGTGGGTACATATCTATGTGTGTGTGCACGTGTGTGTGTGTATGTATGTTTGTGTGCACATGTATGTGTGTGTGTGCACGTGTGTGTGCATATGTGTGTGCATGTATGTGTGTGGGTGCACATGTATGTGCCATGTATGCGTGTGTGCATGCACATGTGTATGCACATCTGTGTGTGTATGTAATGTGCGTGTGCGCATGTATGTGTGTGTGCATGTATATGTGTGTGCATGTATATGTGTGCACATGTGTGTGCACGTGTGTGTGCATATGTGTATGTAATGTGTGCGTGCACACACGTGTGTGTGCATGTAATGTGTGTGTACATGTGTGTGTGCATGTATGTGTGTGCACACGTGTGTGCATGTAATGTGTGTACATGTGTGTGCACATGTATGTGCACATGTGTGTGCATGTATGTGTGTGCGTATGTGTGTGTGCACATGTGCGTGTGTGCATGTATGCACGTGCACATGTATGTGTGTGTGACTGCACGTGTGTGTGCATGTATGTTAATGGTGCACGTGTGTGTGTGCACGTGTATGTCTGCACATGTGTGTGTGCATATATGTGTGTATATACATGTATGTGTGGGTGCACATGTATGTATGTGTGTGCACGTGTGTGCACATGTATGCGTGTGTATCTGCATATATGTGTGCACATGTATGTGTGTGCATGTACATGTGCGTGCCCGTGTGTCTGTCTCTGGCTGCACATGTGCACAGGGCTGTGTAGGTGTACGAGGTGTGTGCCTGTATTCCAGATGCCAACACACGTGTGTGTGTCCCAGCATATGTGTGCATGTGTTTGTGCACGTGTGCCTCTGTTTCCCACACATGTGAACATGTGTGGCCGCACATGTGTGTGCGTGTGTGCCTCGGGCTGCACACGTGCACGGGGCTGTGCGCCTACATGTGTCTGTGCTGGTGTGCGTTGGATGCTGGCACACACACGTGTGAGCCCAGGCACGTGTGTGCATGTATGTGTACACGTGTGTGCACACACATCCATGTGAAAGAATGGATGGATGGATGGGTGGATGGAGAGGTGGATATATCGTGGATGGAAGCATGAATGTATGGATGGTGGATGGTGAACGGACGGATGGATAATGGATGGATGGACGGATGGATGGATGGTGGAGGGTGGATGGACGGACGGATGACGGATGGATGGGTGGTGAATGGATGGACAATGGATGAATGGATGGATGGATAAATGAATGGACAAATGGATGGATGGATAGGTTGGGGATGGGCGGATGGTGGATGGATGGGTGGATGAGTGGATGACGGATGAATGGTGGGTGGGCGATGGATGGTGGACGGACGGTGGATGGACAACGGATGGACGGAAGGATGGGTGGATGGATGATGGATGAATGAGTGGATGGACAAACGGACGGATGGCTGATAGCTGGATGGGCGGACGGACGGACGGCAGATGTACAGTCTGACTGACGGACGGACAGACGGACCCCCGGCGTCTGCGCGCGCACGCACCAGCCCCCCTCCTTCCCCCCCTCCTGCGCGCGTGCGCGCCTGCTCTCGCTCTCCTCGCCCCGCCCCCCGCTCCCCATTGGCCGGTTCCCGCGCGGGGGGCGTGTCCCGCCGCGCTCGCCGCTGCCCATTGGCCGCGGGTCCCTTTGTGTGCGGGCGCAGCGCGGCCCCGGCGCAGTCGGCGGCGCGTCCGCGGGGCGGGAAGGGCCGGGCCGCAGCATGGTCCTGGTGCACGTCGGATACCTGGTGCTGCCCGTCTTCGGCTCCGTGCGCAACAGAGGTACCGCTCCCGGCGCCGCGGGGGGGGCGGCGCGGCCCGCAGTCCCGGCAGGACAAAGTGTGGGGGGGTGCCCCTTACCTCCCCCAGCCCCCCAGCTTCCCCCCTTTTCGGGACACCACTCCTCTTTTGGGACACCCCCCCCTCCTCTCCCGCACCCCCTCCCGCCCGCACTTCCCCGTCTCTGCGGTAGATCCATTCTTCCCTCCCCCCTCACCCTCCACATTCTTCTTTTACAAATTTTATTTTTATTTTTTAATTTACCTTCCTCTTGCCCCCCCCCCCCCCACCTTCGCCCCCTCTCGCCGTAGCCACCCAGGCCATCCCAGCGTAGCTGTAGCCGATAACAGCCATTTTTGTACCTCCATCCTGTGTAGTAGCTGAGTTACATTTTGCACTGTAAATTCCTGTTAAGTGGATTTGTTTTGCCGTGGTCGTCGACGCAGAGTCTCTTTGGGGAGGGGTAGTGGGAGGGGGGGGAAGGGGGGCAGACGCCCTCAAATTGCGGCCAAAACCACAATCACAGGACGGGTGAGGTTGTAAGCGACCACACCGGGGTCCTCTGGTCCCACCTCCCTGCTCCAAACCTTCTAAAAAATACGCTAAGTCGGGGAGAGGAAACCCAGCGATTGGCCCCGATTCCCTGAAAATCAGGCTGGAAAAAGAGTTGGGGAGTGGGATCTGTGGTTGAGCGGGAGTTAAAGTGCCCCCCCCGGGAGCTGCTGGCGGGGGGTGCAGCATCCCTGTCCCCGCGGTGACACCTCTGTCCCCGCGGGCATCGCCCCCCGCCCCGTCCGTCCTTCCATCCATCCAGCCACAAGTGTCCTGTCCCGCCAGCACACCCCCAAAACTGGCCAACACCTACCCCCCCACCCCCCCCAAAAAAAAAAAACCCGAACAAAACTGGGCTGCGAAAAAGAGACGACTGGCAAAATGGTTTTCCATTAAACAGGGATAACATTTTTTTCTGCTGTGCTAAATTACTTCCTGTTCTTATTTTGTGGGTAATTTTTTCTGTACCGAATATCCTTTGGTTGTGTATCTCCACCTTTTTTCTTGTACTAAAACTAAAGCATGGTCTGTATTTTTTTACATTACCTAGTTTCTGATGTAAATCTCTCTGTAGAGACATACCCTGCTGAAATGTAATGTGCTGTAGCCTATACATCTGCTCAGTGTACGCTGCTTTTGTTCTGTTGCCCTTCCATAGCATGGTGGGCCTTGCCTTTTTGTATTGTGTGCATGATGACATTGTTACACACGATTCCACTAATACTAATATACGATCTCTCAATAAAGAAACTAGTTTTCCTATATTAACCTAGTGTGCTTTTTCTATTGCTGTTTCCCCATTTATTGTCGTATCCTGCTGTTTAGATTTTTTCCTTGCTTTTCCCCCCCATCGTGAGGTTTGAGTGAGTGGATTTTTTTCCTCCCTCGTAGTGCAGATGTGGGGGGGCTTTTAAATACATTTTTTCCCCCCTCCTATCCCATATCTACCCTCAGCATTAGTCTGTGTGTACATAATCCCCAGCGCACAGTCCGTATTGCTGTTGTGCCGATGCAGAATTCTGTTTTTACCGCAGAATAGCTAAAAAAAAAAAAGTGTACAATCCAATCCCTCATTATTAATCGGGGAAAAAAAAAACCAGATATTTGATGAAGGGTCTGCTGCTTATTCATTCTAGTTACAACATTACACATTCCTTACCAGAACTGATAACCGAAGCGACCTCCGGATGGATGGGGGGAATTGTTTGGGGTTTTTTTTAAACTCTTTGATTAACAAGAGGTGTAAACGAGCCTGGGAGATTAAAAAAAAAAAAAAAAAATCCCTTTAATCTTTAAGCTGTATATTTAAACGTATACATCTCTGCGAGTGCCCTGCCCACCATCTGCCAGGCGAGAAGTTGCCGTGCCTCGGTCCCGCGGCGACTGGCACGCTATAAATATCTTCACTAGACCCCTGCAAGGCAGGGCTCGTAAAAAACGTCCCAGCTGCTAATGTTGTAACTACATTTTTCCTGCTCGAAGCCTCCAGGCCTACCATCTTCTGAATAAACTCGATTTGGTCAAAAAAAAAAAAAAGAATTTAAAAAAGCAAAGTGGGGGGTTGGGAGAAAGTAATGGGGAACCTTAAAATATTTGGAAGCATGGAGGGATGGATAAATTGCGGTCAGCGAGCAGTTTTGCTGCAGCAGCAAAGCGATAATAATAGTGGTCACCTCTCCTTGTTCCTGCACCAGACCCCTCTCCCAGGTCTGCAAAATGGTCCTGTAAAACCTCCCAGCTTTGGCTTGGATGCCACGAGAAACTGAGGGAAGTCAGGGCTCCCAAAGCCAGGAGAGATGGGGCTGGGAAGGGGAGGCGGGGGGGGGGGAAGCATCTTGTCTTTAATTACATTTCCACAGAAGCCGGGGTGGGGGGAGACACAGGATTGGTAATTGGTCTTTAATGGGAGGAAGACAAATTTCAGCAGGTCGGTGGGTTCCCACCGCTAAAAATTTCACGAGGAGCCTCTGGCAAACAAAGCAAAATCCAGTGGCTCCGGCAGCCTGCCCTGCCTTACCCTGCCTTACCCCAGCATCCCTCCCAGAGACGCATCATTTTGCAAGGCCGTGCCTTTCCACCTCCCTCCTAGCTTTATCCTGAGTTTAGTTGGTTTTCTCTATAAACATTTACTTATGATTTCCTTCTCCATATTTCCTTTTCCGTGTACCTCGGTGACTGTTTGGCCATCCTGTCCCCCCACCCTGTATGAGCACCGGCGGGTCGCCCCCCTGCTCCCCCCTGGATGTAGTGTTTGCCGTGGCCCTTTGTTCTCGCTCCATCCTCGCCCCGGGCCAGCGCTGAGCTCCTCCGTGCCTGACACATGTCCCCGTACACATCCCGAGGAGGGAGGCTGTGCTTCTCGCTTGCATGAAGGGAGACATGCATGCCTGTTGGGGCTGATCATTTTCCAATGTGATTTTTTTTTTTTTAATTATTATTTCCCCCACCCTCCCCTTCTTTTTGTTCTCTCTTTCTCCTTTTTTTTTTTTTTTTTTTTTTTTTTTTTTTTTTTTTTTTTTTTTTTTTTTTTTTTTTTTTTTGATTCACACCCCCCCCCCCCACGTAAGACAATGAGATTCGGGTTATGGCGTGGAAAAAAACAAAACAAAACAAAAAAAACCGAAAAAAAACCCCCAAATCCCACTCCCCTCTACCCCACCCCAAACCCCGACAGGGATAAACCCATCTTTTCCAAATGCACCACAGACACCTGCCGGCAGCTGCCCCTTTGTTGGGAGTGGGGAATTCACTGCAGCGAGCGTAATAACCTCCCCCCCAGGTCTCACTCTGCAAATTAGCACTGATACAGAGCAAAACTGCGTGGTCAATGTGCTCTGAGGATGCCTTGGTAATCTAATAATGCAGAAAGCTGCTGGGTTAATGGCAACTTTTAGAGCAATTTATCATCTGCATCATATTTTTGACCTGTCTTGTTAGAAACACATCCTTACAAGAGGAAACATCCCCCCCTCCTCCACCTCCTAGCCTTATTAGTCAGTAACCACCAGGCTTTCATAGCTCATAATCCATCAAACTCATCCACATTTTAATGACTTAATTCCTTTGACACTCTTGAAAAGCCACCTTTCAGTCTTAAAAAAAGCCACCTGGTGCAAAGAAAATGATATATTTTTTTGTTTTAGCATCACGGGCTGAGGAGATCCAAGGCGAGTCACGTGCTGGTGGTGCTGCTGTGGGTGTGGAGGCACATGCAGTGATTTCTGTAAAGCCTAGACGTCTCCCCAGCACCAACCTGTGTCCCTGGGCTCCTTTAAATAACTTCTTTCAGTAACAGGGAGAGGGGTAGCCTCAAACACGGACGAAATGGGCTCTGAGGTTCATTTATCTGAGGGTTGTGTAGAGGTCTCACACACATCTGCGTGCATTTAATGATGCCAAACGGGAGCTGGGCTGATGGGGCTCTCACACGGGGCTTGGGGTGGTGGCACAAACTCCATCGATGGTTTTTTAAGAAAAAAAGAAACAAGTAGTGGTCACATTTTGCTCATACTGGGAATTACCAGCAAAGTCTAAAGAAAGATCTGGCCCCATGGAAGTGTGTGATTTAAGAACCGGTGAGTTGGTGCACGAGTGAGACAGCAAAAGGAGCTGGGGGGTGTTTTGGGGGTTGTCTGCCACAAAACCCAGGAGCTGCTCTGGTTGGAGGGGGTGAAGTGGTGGGGACACAGCCCATCAGTGCTGGGTGTGCCCTGGACAGAGTGTGGGTACCAAATCGGGGGGAGAGATCTGTAGGTGCCAAGACACTGCCATATCCACCTCCAACCTCGGTCCTTGCCGAGTCACCCCGAGTCCTCCTCCGTGACCCCCCTGGAAGGACTGTCCTGGAGTAAGTCTGAGCTTTGTTTTTTGTTGCTGCTTCAAACCCTGCTCATAACCTGGGGAGATTCTCGATAGCTGGAAGGGGAGGATGCAGCACAACTGGGGCTCCCAAACCTGTAGGAGAAACACCCCAAATACCTCGGGGAGCATGTGGGACATCTGAGGCTGGCTCATCTCTCTGCACTGATCAGACAGAGGGTGCTCACAACCTCTGGGGTGGAAGGAGGTGGGAGTATGGCTCTTTCAGGGGTAGTGAGGGCATGAGTATGCCCTCCAGCCCCTTTACATGCTGGTTTAAACCCAAACCGTGCACTGGGGCTGCCTCATGTCTAAACTGGAAGGTTCTTGCCTCTAGAGGTGTTTGAAAAGGGACACAACACTGCAGCAGGTCAGCCAAGAAAAGCTTTTCCCACCCTTAACCTGGGAGCACTTGTTTTGGGAAGCATTAAATAAGTGAGTCAGAAATTCAAGGGGAGACTTTGCAAAAGGCCTTCTCCTGCATCAAATCATCTCTGATATCTGTAACCCCCAAGACCAGAGTTGGTTTGGCAGCTGGGGGAGGTGTGATGGCAGTGCCAATGTTGTGACTCTTGGGCATCTCACGGTATTTG